GGGGTATGAAGATGCACATCACATGCCACTCTTGATAGTGGATGTGGACCTTAGGCTCGTCTCTGACAAGACGAAAATCGAAATCATTCTGACTATAACTCTTTATTGTTATGATCTGTAGCTTCATCCGTCTGTACAGGGCAGTTTTCCCTCTGTCCCTTTAAATTTGTATCTCAGCTCATCATTTCGCTCTCGCTCTCTCAGGGGAGCTCGATGCCCTGCATGACAACAGATGGAGCCCTGAGGCTCTGGGACTACACACACACACACACACACACAAAGAGCTGGCAGCAGTGGGGTGGGGTAAGAGGCAAGCTGTGGTAAAGACTGATGTCAACATCAGTATGAATGTGTGCACACACATACACACACAATATGTAGATGAATAGGGTGAACACACAAAATCAGATTTATAATGGAAGAATGCATTCAGTCACTGCTGACACACACACACACAGAAAAAAAACAAGACATATCCGACGATAGATTTAAAACAGAAAACCTAATCAAAGAAGAAGAATCCACGCAGGGAGACTATGCTCTTTGCATTTATGTATTTACCACAGTTCACACTTGAATTTGAAGCTAATTTGAGTTTCAAAACTTCAAAATGTTGAGCTGGGAGGGCATTTGGGGATTTTGGGACAACTGTTTGGCACAACATCAGTGTAACCCTGTGATGACTGCATCCAGTCATTTGAGAGTCTGTCTCCTGTTCGGGACCATGTTGGCAGCACGCTAAGCAACCCAAACATCTTTTCCCTATCAACTTTCTTTATAAACTCCTTGTGGATCACCAAGCACACCTATCCATGCTGGGAGATGTAGTCCCTCCTGTGTGCCCTAACACATAGTCATACCTGGAAACCAATGCAATTGAAAAGGAACCATGTTGCACCAGAATCACTGAGACTGACCAATAAACTGACAGCTCAAGGCATTGCCCATTTTAATCATCAATCGTCAATAAGATGGAAAGATGCCTGAACTCTGCTGCCTACCCTCACTGAGCCATGCAGGACACTTTCAAAAGAGTTGATCATAGATGATCATCTCCCTGGCCAAGAAAGCACCACAGGAGTAAACCTCTTCTTTAGAGTAAACCCCAACACCCTCCAAGCACTGCGTTTTACTTTTTTTTGTTTCGACAGTAATGTCACCCGTGAGCTGCACACCACAAGGCTTGTTCAGTCATGTATTTTTTAATCATTTTAGAAATATAAAAAATTACTATCTAACTAAAACACAGAGATCATTGTACATGCTGTTATCTCCTCACACCCTGATTTATGCAACTGCCTCTTCGATTCAAAACTCTATTGATTGACTACAGACTTTCCCAGTATGTTTTAGAACTCATTTAAAGCTCTTATTTATTACTTTTAAAGCTCTTCGTGGCTTTGCACTTTGCTTATATTTTGTACCACTTAGTACCACTAGTCTGTACGTAGCTTGAGCTCTTCAGGCAAATGTCTTTTGTCTGTTCCAGAGTCACGATCTAAACCCAGAGGGGACACTCTTCACAGTTAGGGCCCTGAGGCTCTGGAACAACCCGCCCAAAGGAATAAGCCACAGCATCTTTGAAATCTCTTCTTGAAAAATACTTTTATCCAAGAGCTTATCCTGATTTTAGTTTTTTTTTTTTGTATTTTACTCTAACTGTCTTTTTATTTATTTTGCCGTATAATTCTTGAATTGGTCTGTTTGCTGTGTTGTAAAATATGATGATTTTATAATTCATTGATTGCCTAATGTAGCTGTAGCTGCGTGTTGAAAACTTCTCTATAAATAAATATTATCATAATTATATTACAGGAGCGCCTCTGAGGCTCTCAAAACCATCTGCTTCTCGATCTGGTAAAGTGCAAATCTTTGACCCCAGAGATCCTGTAGTAAAAAAAATCTTGCCAACAAGAGAAAGACTTGTGCATAACATCATATTTCAGAAATTTCAGAACTTGTTCTTGCAAAAAAAAAAAGACAACACAACAAGTCTACAGTCATGCTAGTGGCTGTGTGAGGGTGTAAATAGGGATAGCAATGCTTTGAGCTAAATGCTTATGTCAGGATGCTAACATTTGCTAATTAGCACAAAACATAAAATACAATCTGATGAGAATGTTATTTATTCATAAACCAAAGTATTGTACAAATAAATGGACCTGATGATGGTGCTAAATAAAAAATGAAGGGATCAAATGTAAATACAATTCATCCTGAAGGGAACACAAATGTACAAAATTTCATGGCAATCCGCCAATTATGTCAAGACATTTCTAGTGTTGTATGAAAACATTCCATCTCCACTGTAAGACATTTTCACATTCTCAGACAATCTGACAGATTACATGGTTTTAGTCTATTTCCTAACTCCAGTAGGCTCCTAAAACCCTTTAAAAGCCCTTTAGAGGATGTCAAAACGTCATTGTTATCCAGTTAAAACCAGACTCTTTGAGTTCTTGACAAGTTGACGTGGTTTTCACCCGATATATTTGTGCAGCCTGGTCTGAACCTCAGGATGTGACATCACCTTTAGCTCAGGATGGAACGGCCTTTTAATATAGCTAATATCAATGTAAAGGTCAGGAAGGGGAAGTAAATGTCAAAACTAATATGAGCAGAAAACCCCAGAAAGCTTTGACTGAAAGTGAATTTGTAATGTGATGAATGAAGGTGGACAGGAAGGAAGTGCCTGACAAATACAATATGGAGCCACGGTGATCACATTAGCTTATTTGGGCATGGAGAGGAAAAAGAAAATGCACCGCTGTGACACAGCTAATTGATTCTGGCAGGACAGAAGTGTAAAACACAAACAATTATGAAGACAGAAGAAAGAAGAAAGACAGGGAGATGAAATTCAACTGCTCTGACACGATTCATTAACTTGGACAAGAAAGAAGAGGGAAGCATAAACACCAAATACGGTCACACTGAACTGCGTGTTAATTTTTTTGGGAGGTAGAACTGCTGCTGAGAGGCTGAACGATTTACTGCATGAACCTGTAGCCTGGAAAGGAAAATGTGTCCCAATGTCGCACTATACATTAATTAATATTAATACTATAAAGTCTAACAGGAACTAGAATAAAAAGGATCTACCAACCATCCTAAAGAGGGCATGCTGACCTAAAAAGTTTGCAGGCAACAACAGATAGGTCCTTTTTTTGCTGCAGGTACTTTTCCGCAACACTTTTCAAGAAGTCAGGAGCTTGACCTCTATTGTCAATGCAGGAACTTGGGCCTCAATAATACTGATGGGGCATCAGGCTCTGGTGGAACACAAGCTTCAAAACTACTACAACAAACTCTTGGTTATTGGCCAACAGGGATGATTAATGGAACTGAACCAGTTTACAGTAATCACTAAAGCTGTTTTACCTTTTTGTTTTATAGTTTCTGTTAATTAATCATGTAACCAGCTACCTCACAAGGCTAAAAACAAGTGACACAAGTCAAGGAGCAACTGGACTTGGTTGAAGATACTAGAAGACGTCCCTCATCCAAGAGACTTCTTCAGTTCTGACTGATTGGTAGGGGAACTCAGCTATTTAACCCCTGTGGGGTCGTTAGCCAAGAACTTCAATACCGCTGGTTCGTTAGTGCTCCTGGCTGTGGTAACGACATCATGGTCGTTCGTACCACCCACGGCCAAGTCTGAACAACAGCAAGGAGCTCTAACAAACCAACGATATCTACGATCTTGGCAAACAACCCCACAGAGGTTAAATAGCTGCGTTTCTCTATTTGTCATTTCAGAACTGAAGAAGTCTCTTGGGTGAGGGAAGAAACGTCTTCTAGTATCAACCAAGTCTATAACTATTACCTGGATGACTGAGAATCTTCACAGAAAGTGTGACATAAGTAACATTTAAGTCTCAACTCCTTTTAGTGTTTGCTTGTCAAGTGACACTTGACACCTCTTGCAGTTCTTTCACTTCAATGGAAACTTCTACTCCTTCAATCACATCCACTTGAACGGTCACACAACTGTCCTTCAGTGATTCTATTTTTAACCGCCACTTTAACTTCTTTCAGTGCTCCAACTTCAGGTTCAATTTCATTTAGTGCTTCAAGTTTAGTTTGTACAGTCACAAAATACTACATTTTTAAGAGTAAGCTAAATAAACATGAAAAATGGTCTATTATCTCCTCAAATGACACTTCAAGTCCTTTCAGTGCTTGCACTTCAGCTGAAATGTAAACTCGTTCAATCTCTTCCACTTGAACAGTCACACAAACCAGCAACAGTGATAACAGTTCAGTGCCTTTGTTATCAGTGCCACTTCAACTTCTTTCAGTGCTTCAACTTAACGCCTCATTTAAAAATTACACCAACATCAGCATCAACTACCATACAAATCTAGCAGTAGACATGAATGCACTTGCATTTTCTTCAGTTTCATTTCATTAATTAGGCAACCAGCTACCTCAAGATAAAATAAGCAGATTTGTGATATAGAGTCGGCACTGAGTCTCAGTACAATAAGGTGCAGTCTTTACTTTGATACCTCACTTTGTTCAGTATTAAGAATCCTTTTTTCATTTAAGTAAATAAACTCAAACTCTCAGACGTACGAAGTGTTTAATGTCTGAACACAAACGGCTATTCAAGAATGAACTGAGGTTCAATTCCCAGACCTAATCACGGTGAACATCCCCCGACACACAGGGAGAGTGTTTTCTTTGCCTGATATGAGTACAAATTGATGAACCCAACAGCAGTCGTACAAAGGACAACGAGTTGGCTGACTTCAGGCAGCCCAGGAAGAGAAGGTTGTTTTTTTCTTTCCTAATTTGGATCAGTAGAGGGATAAAACGTTAACTGTGTGTTTTTTATTTAATGAAAGCTGACAGGAAATGAAACATCAGAGGAAAACAGTGTCTTTAACTGAATTTGATTGCACTGAAGGGATCCAAGCTGTAGGGAAGAGGGATGCAACCAGCCACAACACTACCAAATAACCTCAAAAGGAAGAGGAAGATGTCAGCAAACTTACCTAGCTTGGGCAGGGAGTACTGAACTTTAAAGTAGTCCTGGTAAAATCCAAGAAGCCTCTTGGTGATGTGGAGGGCATAGTCCCCTGCTCCACTAGAAATCGCATCCGGCCGAGCGTACAGACGGATCTAAAAACAAAAGACAAAGAAAATGAGAATTAGAATCAGGCCGATTTTAATGGAGATGGATTTAAAAACAGATAAGGGGAGAGGGGAAATTGAATTAGGGTATGCTCAGCTCTACAGAGAAATAAATGGAATTAAGCCTAGAGAAGGAAATTAAATTGGTAAGAGTTTACAATCAAATCTACAAAGACAAACAGCACATGGCTGAGTTTATATTAAACTCTACAGGGGAAATAATACAATCAGGTTGAGTTCAAATTTGTAGAGAGACCAAAATTACATTTGAGGGTTATTTGTCAAAATGTACACCGAGATGGAAGAGAAATGGAACGAGGCTCGTGTTAGGCAGGTCAGGTCTACAGAGAGAATAAGTGAATCAGGCCGAGAGCGTGTTCAGCTCACCAGACAAAATAATAGAGTCAGGTTGAGTTTTAGTTCAAATCTACAGAAAGAAAAATGGATTCACAGCTGCAAGCAGCAAAAACATAGATTTCTAGACACAGAGTAATATAGTTAAAGGAAGATAAAAGTTGCACTTTCAGTGGATTCCAATATTTCTCACAGTCGGAGTCAAATATTCCCAACACAGATGCTGAGTGTGTTCTCATTATTCTGCAGGGCAAAGACTTGCACTGTTGCTGCAGCATCAGTCATTTAAGGTAGTCTCTGTTAAATAAGACATAGAAATAACACACTGCATGTTGTGCAGCACGTTTTCATGTGGTTTATTTCCTGTTTATTTCAAATTCACATTAGCTGTGTTTTGGGTGGCGCAGTGGTACAGTGGTTAGCACTGTCACCTCACAGCAAGAAGGTCGTGGGTTCAAACCCTGTTTGCCCCGGCCTTTCTGTGTGGAGTTTGCATGTTCTCCCCGTGTCTGTGTGGGTTCTCTCCAGGTGCTCCAGCTTCCTCCCACCATCCAAAGACATGCAGGCTAGGTTAATTGGTGTCTCTAAAAAAAATTGTCCTTAGGTGTGATTGTGAGTGGTTGTTTGTCTATGTGTGGCCCTGCAATGGACCTGTCCAGGGTGTACCCCGTCTTTCGCCCGATGTCAGCTGGGATTGGCTCCAGCCCCCCTGTACGCAGGATAAGCGGTTGACGATGGATGGATTAGCTGTGTTGAAATGTCAGAAGTTGTTTATAAAGTCTTTAAATATAGAAATGTTTATGCTTGGAGAAAAGCTTAATTTCAACAGTGAATTAACCTTAAACATATTATAGTACATGCAGTGCATCTGTCGGTCACCAACACACGAGTGCTGATCCGCTAAACGCTCTGATCCGTGTATAACAAGAAATTTCAGGTCGTGACGAACACTTTTGTTTTTGCATTCATCATGAGATGAACTCAAAGATCTAAGACTTTCTCTATGTACACAAAAGGCCTATTTCTCTCAGACATTGTTCATTAAGCTGTCTAAATCTGTGTTAGTGAGTGCTTCTCCAGAGCAGAGATAATCCATCCATCGTGCCTTAGGCTGGCCACAATAAAAGGCCACTCCAAAATGTGCAGTTTCACTGTATTGGGGGTGTCCCGGAGTGTCGGGAAACTAGTCGCAGACACTAAGGCAGAACAGGTACAGTTAGTGGTGTTTATTTACAAAGTGTAAGATAAAACTAACATCCATTGTGAGTCAGACCGTCCATACGACAACTCATCCAAAATCCACAATCAGAAATTAACATAACAATACAAGCACGGGTGACAGATGAAATACAAAATCCAGCTCAGAAGATACGGCAAATAACAATGATATAATGTAGAAAGGAAACAAACTTAGCCAAGGAGACCAGAGGCAGAAAACTTCAAAATCAAAAAGGAAATAAACAAAAACCGTGACTAAACCTGCTGCCGTCGGATTCTCAGTGTTCACCTGCAGAAAAAACACACAAGAGCATTTTATATCCACCTTTGAAACCTCTGCAACCTCATTGAAAACAAAAGTCAAAACAAAAACTTTGTAATCGATATTTTTAATTCGCTTTGATACCAGCTTTGTATTTGTTACTGTGGTACCAGTCTGCTCATCTCTTGTGATTCTGCAGCTCTGTCAAAAATGTTTCACCCCAGTGACTCCCAACTGATTTCTTTAAACTGAAGTGATTCTCAGACAGGCACCTGCTCCCCATAAAAAAACAAAAACTGTTGAGATAAAAGCAATTGGGCAAGTTTTCAAGAGAAAACCAGCTAGTGCTGGAGCCTGATCCAATAGACACCCAGTGTCAGTGGTCAGCAAGTCTACAGCCATGTTAGCATCTGTTAGCATCTGTTCATTATTCTGTAAAAAAACATTGGCTGCCTACAGTGCACAACATGCATACCTTTTGTTTTTATGTAAAGACAGATTTAAATGTATGTAGAGGTTACAGCTCCAGAGCTTTAGCACGTAGCAGAGACACCGCAAACAGAAACCAAGAACTTTAAGATATGACTGCCTGTGTTTTCTCCAATAAGTTTCCAGAGCTGGTAGAGATCGTTAAGAATGACGACAACATTGAGCAAGTTTAGGAAAGACTCAGTAAAAATTCAGTCCAGTACTGATAGGACGTCGAGCAGACGTGGTGTAATGGGAATGTGACCTAGTATATAACCCCAGTTGTGTAACTCGCAAAAATGTGCGGCTCATCTTTGCTCTATATCAAGTTAGAGAAAGAATGTAAACACAATTACTTTGGAGAAGAGAATTAAAGCACGATATGATCTGATCAGGTATGATAACATGCATCTGGTGTAGCAGTGGTGATATCATCATCAGGTTAAAATGCGTGGAAATGCAGTTAAATGGAAAAAAAAGATCTGCCTGGACACAGCTACATCTGTGTGTGTGTGTGTGTGTGTGTGTGTGTGTGTGTGTGTGTGTGTGTGTGTTGGATGATTTTCTGTTGGAGAGGAAAACCACCTCACTGTCAGCTGAAGGACGACAGACAGAGACTGGCTATCTCACACACACACACACACACACAAACACGACTCATATCATTTTTCACACTAAGACGGAAGCGAGTGGACACACACATACACACACACACACCCTGATGTAATGCTGGTGTATCGCCGCTGTCATTTCACAAACACACACACACAGATAAACATTACTGTCCCAGTAATGTCACTCTGCCATCTCCCTCAGTTTCTCTTCCAATCCAATAAATTCTGTTTTCACACGACTGTAAAAACACATTGGACTCTCCTTTTAGAACACCCTATAAATCAGGTTCTACGTGGTATCAGTGTGTTTGTGTCATCTAAAAAGCTTCTGGTAAGCTGCACACACAAAAAACAAAGAAGAAAATAAAGTTTGTAGCATTAAGCTGCGTTCAGACTGAACATAAAATACATTTTACAGGTGATTGCATACATTTGAAGGATTCATTATGCTCCGACACTCTCTGCAACAACTATTGGCTGGATGGATATGGATACGCAGGAATCCATGGTTCCAAGAGGATGAATCGTTACGTGTTCCTTAAAGATGTCATATTAAGCTCATTTTCAGGTTCATAATTTTATTTAGGGGTTGTACCAGAACAGGTTTATATGGTTTAATTTTCAAAAAACACCATATTTTTGTCATACTGCACATTGCTGCAGCTCCTCTTTTCACCCTGTGTTTTGAACACTCCGTTTTAGCTACTGTTTGAAGCTTCTTACTTTAATTTGATGAGTAGGGCGGGTCCTGACGAGCCAGTAACCACAGCTGAATAGTCCTGAGCCAGCTTCACAACCTGGACTGAAGCAAGAGTTTCGGAGTGGTAAGTTATTAATTTGTACCACACTGATCTTTCGTACGCAGCGTTTTAACTGTGCGCTGTCTCTACATCACAGTACCAACTTTATGTCCACTGACTGCCTGGAAGGTAGCTAACATTCAGTAGGGAGGGTGGAGTTGAGGAGAGGCAACGGGTGGACATCTTTTCTCAGTGTGTGTGCTGCAGCTCAGTGTGTTTCTCCACCAGTTTTTTTGAGGGCGTGCCATGCTAGCTGCTAGAAGAGCGTTATGACGTGTGTTACAAAGTGACGCAGATAGTTTACGGAAGTAAAGGCTGGACTACAATCCAGCTGTTTTCAGGCAGTTCAGGAGCAGAGTTTTCTGTGGGAGATGGGAACTCCCTTTGGGGTGGACTTTGGGCTTTTTCACTTTGCAAACCTACTTCTCAAGATAGAGCTGATTCAAAAATTTGCCACGATGTTTTCGGAGACGTGAGGTCCCGCTCGCTAACGGGTCCGGCCTCATCAAGTCCGCTGCTGTTCCAATTGCTGAATGACGGACTGCGTGCTACCGTTTGGGAAGCTGAATAGATGAAGGGAAGGGAGGGTGGGTCGAGCAATCGGAGACAAACGGGGCCGGCTGAACAGCACAGGTATAGATAGGGTTGTAAGGTGATTAGAGGTGTGGTTGAGGCGTGACCCTGCTCCCGAACCTAATTTCACAAATTAACTTCATATAACATAATAAAGGAAAGGGGAAAGGCCAAAAAGCATAATATGATCTCTTTAAGTGTTCTTCCCCTCTAACGCCACCATGATGTTGTCATTTTGTTTCTTACTGAAATATCTCGACAACTATTGGGTGGATTGCCATGACATTGTGTGTATGATTTTGGCAGACATGATAAACATACCTGCTAAACATCAGCATGTTAGCAGTGTCATTGTGAGAACATTAGCATTTAGATGTAAGCACCACTGTGCTTAAGTACAGCCTCACAGAGCCTCTTACATGGCTGTAGACTATTAAGTTTTATGTATTTGCATAAAGTGATGTGGAAAACATTCAGGTAGCAGGTTTCTAATTTTAAGTTGGCACAGACAGTCACTTTTGCCTGTTCAGCTTAATTCTCTAAGGCTGAAATTAAACTTTTGGCAGTTGTCTACTTAACATGCTCACTGCATGTCTGTACCAAAGACGCTGTGAAATATCACGGTGTTCTTGTTCAACAGTTTGTTTCAAGAAAAATAATCATGTCATATTACTGTCAGGAGAATCTCCCAGTTAAGCT